CCAGGTGTTGGAAGTAGGATTGACAGAGTTGAACTAGATGGTATCGCCTCTGAGCCAAGTTGCACCCATATCAGAAGCTTAGCCAGCTTCTCAGAGCTGGATTCTATTGTCTCGGACATCACAGAAGGTGTCTGTAAAGGTAATTGTACTTTGGCTTCGAATTTTTTTCCTTCTTTTTTTGAGCTAGTTCAGTTTTTCTGCATCTGTTTGGGTCACAATTTTCTTTGTATGTTATGTGCTCCCCATCTTTTTTCCTTCCAAGTAAATCCCACCCCCCTTCTTTCTCTCCCACACCATCTCTCTCCCTCCCCCCCTTTATCCCCCCCTTGTCCCCGCTCTTCCCCTCTGTCTCTCCCATTCTACTGGCTGTTGAGAAGCAAACATGTATTTTTTGGCTCTTCGGCGCTTCTGAAATTTGACGATACTGAATATTATACTGCCATTGACAATATATCTCCATATTATCGTTTTTTAGAGGAGGTCCCATAAGTTTAATACATTTACACTCTGGGGATTGCCGTTCGCGTGTATCTATCTATCTATCTATCTATCTATCTATCTATCTATCTATCTATCTATCTATCTATCTATCTATCTATCTATCTATCTATCTATCTATCTATCTATCTATCTATCTATCTATCTATCTATCTATTTATCTATCTATCTATCTATCTATCTATCTATCTATCTATCTATCTATCTATCTATTTAAATAAAAACACACACATACACACATACACACACACACACACATATACACTCTCTCTCACACACACATATAAAATAATATCATTATTAATTTTATTATTATTTTATATATATATATATATATATATATATATATATATATATATATATATACATACACATATACATATATAAAATAGTTATATATATATATATATCAAGGGCCAAAAATCTCGGCAATCCCGTGTGCAAGTTGCACACGTTAAAGATCCCTTGGTGGTCTAAAAAAAGCATATTTTACGCTCTTCCCACCAGCGGTGGTTATCCCAGAGCCAAACAGCACAACCACCCACAAGTGCAGAGCACAAAAAACTCTCAAGATTGAACCGAGCCCAGAGATCAATGTAGCCATTTAAATCTTTGCCCCTTTAAAACTCACACCATTTTAATCTCAGCCAGAGTAAACCCAGACCATTGAATCTCAGCCATCAGAAACCCATACACACAGTAATTAAAGTGAAAAAGAAATATTTAAACACTTAGGAACACCGAATCATCAGCAATAATTGCACCCCGTCGATAATTTTCAAGTGCTTCTCAGAAAGCTTTTCAAATCAAACGAGCCTATCTGATACGATATGAATTAATAAAATGAAAAAAAAGACGAAATAATTCATATTATACTCAACGTTTCTGTACGAGTTTCGACCATTCAAGAGATCGGATGATTCGACCCCCTTTGGCTGGCATCAACCCCGACTGTTGGGATAATAATAATATGTATGGCTGTTTTCGTCTATGCTGACGGTCAGTTTAGCTTAAGATGGTCTCTATGTCGTCTTCATGCAGCTTCTTTCAGGCTAATTCTTTCTGTGTTTGAAGCGCAGATCCTGTCGCAGTGCTCGCATATCAGTGACGTGGATCGAACCTCTGTATTTCCGCTGTTTTCCTTTCGTCGTTGACACTTCTCAGCCTGTTTGTTTCTAAGGCTGCTCTGTAGCATTATAGTTCTTTCCTTTATCATTTTCCTCCGTGTTTTCCTGTTCTTAGCTATTTCTTCCCAAATTCTAACATCTACTCCAAGCTTCTATAAGCTTTTTTTGCAGGTGCCTTTGTACCTCAATTTTGCCTTTCCTCTTGGTCTCTTTCCCTGGGCAAGTTTTCCATAGAGAAGTTGCTTCGGAATCCGGTTGTCGTCCATTCTCTTGACATGAGGTCAGGAACCAACCTTACGTTTTCTGTGTACAATAGAGTAGACTGTTACCAGAGTACGCCCCAGATGCCCATAAAAAATTCATGAGATGATTTCGATAGTTACTTTTTAAAACAATTATAGGGCTCGATTCAGACAGCATGTTTTTAAGGAATTCAAAAGTGTTTACCATCTTGACTAGGTTTTTTTCAGCTGTCGTGTGAATGGTAACCTTACAGAACGGGGGAAGGTCGTCGTAAAAACGTGACCTTTATGACCATTACACACTCTATTGTATGTTTGTTAGTTTGGTTTTTTTTCTTCCAAATACACACTGCGTTAGGGAGGGTGGAAATCTTTGGATCCTTCAATATCACACAACCCAACCCAGCTTTTGCTGACTTTTCAAGGTAGGTAAGATATTGGCAAACACGTGTGTATTTGCCTTTTTGTATGGTAAATAACACTCGTCTCCCACGCC